CCTCCCCTGGGGCCTGAGGGGTGCTGAGAGGAGTGGCTGATCCGGTCCCTGCTCAGGAAAATGGAGGCAAAGAAGTCGTTAAATATGTTGGCTTTGCCGTCTGGTGTGATGACCAAATTTCCTAGCGTGTCCTGCAGGGGCCCTGCATACCCGGTACCTTCTTTTTGCCCCCTGTGTATTTATAAAAGGACTTCTTGTTGTGCTTGATCTGGGTCAGTCGTCCCAGTCCCATCTCCGCCTTGGCCTCCCTGACCCCCCCTGCATCCCCGAGCAACCGCAGTGCAGTCCTCCCTGGGGATGGCCCCTCCCTGCCATTGGGGTGCGCTTTCCTTTTAGCGAGGAGATGTTCCCAGATGCTTTTGGTGAGCCATGGGGGCTTTTGTGCCCTCCTGCCCCCTTTGATCCATGCTGGGATTACCTCCTTTTGGGCTTGGAGAATCGTCTCCTTAAGGAGCAACCGCTCTCCTTGGACACCCGCCTCCCCTCCCATCCGGGACCATGCATGACAGAAAAATATGCTCTTTAGCTAATGCGCGTTAAAATAGGCTAAAGCACATTCTTCTAGGACCTCACAGTGGAGGTACTAGATTTAATACACATTACCTAAAGTGCATTAATTGAATGTGTAGGCACACCTGATCTAGTCCAACCCCCTGCTCAAAGCATGACCAGCCCCAACTACATCATCCCAGCTGAAGTTTTGTCTCCCCCGGTCTTCAAAACCTCCAAGGATGGAGACTCCACCACCTCTCTGGGTAACTTGTCCCACTGCTTTACTACCTTCCTGGTCAGAAAGTTTTTCCTGATATCTCAGTGATGACTTTTAGACCTCTCCTAAACGTTTGTAGAAACAGGCTGTTTAGGACAACAGGACAACAGATGGGGGTGGAAACGGGAGCAAGTCCAAGCTTGCACTGGCGGACACATCCGAGTCGGCAAAGCAGACGTTATCCACACTCCCCTTGGGTAATGTACCCCGTTTGTGGCTATGACACTCATAGATGCATCTCAATGCAATCCTCCTACTAGCCCATGACTTAAAAGGGAAGGCAGCGACCTATATACAGAGCGTGCCTGTAGATACAGCACACACATGTACGGCATATGTACATATATGCGTACATATGCAACCTGCTGATGTTGTATCCAACTAAGGTAATTTTTTCTTTTTTAAAAAAGCATCCAGTTGGAGTCACAGCCAGCCGGAGAGGAACCCTTGCAGTTACCGAGAACTTCTCTCATAGCCAAGCTATCGAAGAGCCTGCCAGACTCGCAGGGTAATTTTCCTCTCTCTCATCTTGCTGAATTCCCCCAGGAGAGGCAGAGTTTACAAAATATCTGGTAATTCCATTTCAGGAGCAAAGGAACCGTAAGCAGATGCAGGACATAAGGTCAATAAAAGTCCTATTTTCTAGTCTGAGAAGAGCAAAACAATGACCGTTCAGGGACTGTCCAGGGCTCACTCACCTTCCACCCCCATCTTCTCTCCAGGGCCTCATTAGGAAAACAGCATATATCTAAAGGAATCAGACCTCCTGGTAGAGATGATATCTTTTATCAGACCAACTAGTTTTTTGCAAAAAAAAAAAAAAGGTCTTTAATTGCAAACTTTCAGGCACAAGCATATCCCTAAGGCACTACAGGGAAGGAGAAGGGACAGGGCCAGAGAGGGAGGAGACACTTGATAGTAATATTCCCCCTGGTTTTGAAAATTCATTTCCGTCTCAGCTTAAAAATAACCCACCGGACTTCGACGCCAAAGGGACTGGCAGTTGTCCGGCATCGTGTGTGTGCGGCTTTGTTATTCAAAGGTTGTACAGGAAGGCTAGGCTCTGCATGCCGGCTTTGCCTCTGGCTTGCCGGTAGCGGTTTGCTATCGCAAAGCTGCTGACAGATTTGAGTTGGAGACAGCCCGGGAAGTATTTATCCAGAGAAAGCCTCATATGTTTCAAGTCGATTTTGCACACAAATAGGAAAAGGGGGAAAAAACCCTGTAAAAACAAGGGAGAGCAGGTTTGGAAAGTTCTTCCTTCCTCAATCTTGGCCTGAAAAGATTTTCAGATGTGGAGTGAAGAAAAGGTCAGCCCCGGGAGCAGTGGCTGCCAGAAAATAGTGAGAGCTGAGGCTGTAGATAATGGATGCCCCCGCTCCAGGCTTTACGGGGCAAGAAGAGCATGCAGGAGCTCGGGCTGAGTTCATGTGGACTGGGAAGAAGTCATCCAGGGCAATGGGATGCACGTCATTTGAAGTGATGGCTTCACCTGAGGGCTCCCTGGTGGCTGATGCATGCAGAGTTTGGCAGCTCCCAATCCACTTCCTTGCAAGCAGAGGTCTGTCCCCCACACTTCTGACAACATGCAAGTCCACAGGCTGGCCAGGCTCGGGCACTGACGTCCCTGCCTCTGGACACCTAGCTGGGGTTGGCAGGGAAGTCTGAGGGCACCCGCGTTGTCTGCAAAAGGTATGCATCAACTTCCAGCAATGTGGGGCTGTGGGGTGGGTTTCCAGCAGCCAAGCCCCAGCCAGGGCAGAATCTGTAACCGAGTGTAGGCTACAGGCAGAGTTGAATTCAACAGTGGGTGCATCTACACGTGCCCAGTTACTGCACAGTAGCGTAAAATTACTGTGCAGCACGGGCATGTGTCTACACATGCACACTTGTATTGCACAGTAATTATGGCGACTTATGCAGACTTGGGTGTAAATTTGAGACCTGCATGATGCAGGTATCAAATTTATGCCTGATTAGTTGCTGCGCAGTAACACACGTGTCGATACCTTATTGCGCAGTAACACTGTGTGTGTGGACTGACTTAGGACTAACTTGAGTCCCAAGTCAGACCACACACAGCGTTAATGCACTTTAACTCCTGCCCATGTAGATGCTGGCCTATTCTGGCCTACTGCGTAGTAACTTACTGCACAGTAAATTTAATGCGGTGTAAATGCACATGTAGACATACCCAATGAGGCCAGGGGGAAGCATCCCAGGGAAAGTGGGGCATATACGAGTATGGACCAGCTGGATATTCCCTTCCAGGGCAGGGGTCTCAGGGTCCATGGAGGGTTACTATATCTCCCCATCAAAAAGGCACTCTCAGCAGCCCTTTACCCTGCCAAAGTCCCTGCTGAGCAACTTGTTTCCTTGGGACCACGGAGGAGCCTGACCCTTCGTATTGGAGGCTCGGTCCCCTAGGACAGGATGGGAAGGGAAGGCTGGGGGCTGGCCTAGGACTTGGCTTTAGCTGGCTGCTGGCTGTGCAGGGAGCAGCTGAAGAGGGCATGGGGGGTGGGGAGGGGAGGTCCTTTAATTAAAAACTTGCAGTCTGGAAAATGTGAGCAGCTGCTGTTCTCAGCCCCCTGCTGTCCCCTCCCTGAGCACGTACAACAGCAATACGGAGTCAGGGCTATAAAACACTGACTCTCCTCCCTTCTCCCGACACCAGGGACCCAGCCTGCTCTTACCTTGCCCATCTCTTGCTCCCAAAACCATGCCTTCCCCAACCCCAGCCTGCCAGGGCTTTGCAACCAAGGGGCCAGCAGCTCTATGCAGCCTAAGAGTGCAGGCTCCTGCCTGGGCAAAAATCCCAGGTATCAGCCAGATACATCAGCCAACAATGGGCAGCTCATGTGAGTAGGAGCGTCCACCAGCCAACAACCCCTGCCCCTCAAACTCACCCCCTCCTAGCTGTTGCAACCTTTCAAAATGCTAATTTCTTTCTACATTGCCAGAGTCTCCCCACCATTGATCTCCCCAGGTGCCTCTCATAACTAACTGGGCTTGCTGAGTCTGCAGAAGGGAAAACTGAGGGGGGATTTGATAGTAGCCTTCACCTCCCTGCAGGGGGGCTGCAAAGAGGCTGGATCTGGACTGGTCTCAGTGGGGGCAGATGACAGGACAAGGAGCAATGGGCCAAACAGTTACAGTAGCGTATGGGCCAAACCAATCCTGCCTTCACAACATAAAGCTTGTCTCACCATTCATTGATTAAGAGACCTTTCGCTTCCTGCATGGACCTGAGTGCATCATATAACAAGGGTGGTTGGTCGTAGCCATGTTGGACATGGGCAGACAAGGTGCCTTGGGTACATGTGATATCTTTTATTTGACTGACTAAATAATTGGGAAAAAAAATGTTCTTTGCAAGCTTTCAGGTACAAACACCCTTCTTCAGGCATAGGGCAGACTTGAAGAAATGGAAGCTAATTAGGGGATTCGACTTGAGCCGCTGATAACACCAGGGATAAAGAAGGCAGAGGAAACCTCAAGATGTCGAAACTCCGCTTAAGTTTGTTTGGGGGCCTATGGATAGCTCTCACTTGGTGGGGAATGAAGGTACAGTGATGGCACGAAGCCCAGCTCAGCCCCGTCCCAACGTGCAGCTGGGGAGAAGAAAAGAGAATTACTTTTTTGCTGAGTTGTAGGTCATGACCAGGCTCACCAAAGGCAGGGAGAGGCAAATCATCTTTTCACCTGCCGCGAAGAGAAGAGCCTTAACTCAACTCACGCTCACATGTCAGGCAGCGCCGCTGGGGGCTTTCACTGCAGCGATTCAGGGGTTGTTCGACATTTTGGGCAGTTTGCAAGAGGGCTGCTTAGGAGGTTTTTGGGACCGGACTTGTCTAGCATGGTTTCGACAAGGATGAACGTGCTTGGAGCAAGGGGCTGTGGGAGGGGATGTCCCGAGGTCCCCACCTGCCGGACTATTTGACAATTATATGATGAACCTGGTGACCAAAATTGATGTTAGGAAGGAATTTTCCCCCCGGCAGACTGGAAAAAAACCTTTGCTGCCCCACCGCCAACACCCACTTTGTTGTGACTCCGGCCTTGAAGCAGCCTGCAGAAATCGGGCAGGTGTATTCCAGAAATGCATCAGTTCCCTGCAGCTTTGTAGGGGCTGGAAGTCAGTGCCGAGGGACCTCTTCGCTTTATATCTCCAGGGCTTGTTTCTATTCTAAAGCAACGTGCAGCCTGCCTTTGATTCCCATTGCTGTGAAGAGATACTGGGCTTGCTTAGCCCCTTGGGGAGTCCTACGGCCGTAAGAAAAGGACGGCAGCAATAGTCACCAGGCGCGTGCACGTGGAAAAGGATTAGCTCTGTTTGTCATCATTTTCTCTGCCAGGCCTCACCCACTCATAGCATGCACAGCATCCAGGTTGGTTCAGGGGATGTTTGATCTCCAGCCACACTGTCCCCAGTACCTTCCCTTGACATGGCCTGAACCCACCGTCCTTTGCATCTCCTCGCTGTCTAGGAACCTCCTTCCTCCCAACCTCATCTCTGCCCAGCTGGGAAACAAGCCACTCATCAGAAGAATTTACGTTCAAACAGGCCACAGCACTTCATAATAAGTGGATTAAGAGCCAGTCTGGAAAAAGGATTAAATCCTATTGCACCACAGCGAAGTCTGCATGTTTAACTCATGATGTAATACGCGCAGCGGGAATTCTCCAGTACGAGGGACATGCAGAGATTTTAAGTTACAGCAGCCATCAGTTTGGGAGCTGTGGGATCACACAGTCCTATTTCCACCTCTGCCCTCTTTATCACACCGGGCCTCCTCCTCCCTTGCTCAGTCAAAGGAGGCACTGAACTGTTCCTTGATCAAAAGACCTTTCGTCTCCTATTGTGGAGGTTCATTGCATGACTGCATCCCAGTGCACTGCTGGCTGGACCGGCTGGGGGGGGAGCTGCCCTGATCTTCTCCGGTCAGCCAGCAAATATGCCCATTTATTCATTCTGTTTGAAATGTTTTGTTTAGAGGGATGCCTATCATGTAGCAGGCAGGCACGGCCGTGAAGTGCCTGGGAGATAGACAGCTACTGAGTCCAGATGTTAGCATCTTCCAGTTGGCACCAGCCACCAGATGTGTGAGCGAGAGCTGTGCAAACTGTGCTGGCCTGTCTTCACCCGTCTCCGGCTCCCCTGAAGAGCATCCCTCCCTCTTTAGCGGGTGAAGGGACTGATGGAGATTTTCCAGCCTCTTTCATCCCTTGACCTCAAAGCATTGAGCAAGGCAGGGCAAGGGTCATTCTTTGCATTGTACAGATGGGGAAAGAAAGGTGAAGAGCAACCTGTGGGCTCAAGGAGACAGAGGGACTGGTCAGGGTGACACAGGGTGACCCAGGTTAGTGGGGAGAAGAGCACTCAAGCCCTCCTGAATCTACCCACTGGAGCAAAATGCCCCTGTCTGAGCTACAGCAAGGAGCAGGGGCTTGTTGAGCTTGGGGAGGAAGACAAGGCAGTGAGGGAAAGAGCTGCTTGCAAAGCAGGGCAGCATGAACAAGCTCTACAGCATCCTGAAAGCATCATGGTGTGAAGCTGTCTCATCGCCTCACCATACAAGCCCTGTACTGCAGCCAGGAGGCCTGAGCTTTGGCCGGCAGCTGCTTCTAATTAAGCAAGAGGAATTATGTAATGAATTTCAAGAGAATCTCTCCCATCTGCAGAAGGCTGTCACTTGGCAAGGGCTGGCTGTAGGGTCAAGTCTGCAGCAATGCCCAAGTATAGGATCCCTGGGACATCAATGCAGAGCCAAACATGTAAACAACCTTGTAATTAATTACTCCAGGCCTTAAAACTAATTACTAAGGGCTCCGCCTCACTGCTTTCTGCCCCTCAGAGACTGAGCACGAGAGAGGAGGTGGTGTAGGATGGAGAAATTCACTTGGCTGTTAACTCAGTCCCAAGGAGATGCAAGGGAAGCCGTCTCATTCCAGGATTCATATTATATAAACCTCTTCTCTCTCACCATGACCAGAAGCCAGAAGCAAGACAGGGATCTGGTCTTCATCAGCGTAGGCAGAGGATTTACATAAGCCTCTAGCTTTAGGTTCAATCTTTAATAGACCTTCTCCACCAGAATCACTTTTCCCTGGCTCGTGTTGAATTTACTGATCATTCATCTTTCCACAAAAGCTTCTCATGGCCAGCAGCACCTTATAGATAACAAGGAGCGCAGGATAATATTGCACACAGATGCACACACACATACAGAAGCAGTTATAATGGGTGCATCTACATGTGACGCTTTAATGCGCATTAGCCTATGTTAATATGCATTAAAGGTATGTGTTTACACATGCGCACACTTACTGCGCATTAAAATGGTGAATTTAGGCTATTCACGCCTACATTTGGTACCTCCAAATGCAGGTATCAAATTTAAGTGCAAAATAGTTAAAGCGTATTAACGTAGACACGTTAAAGCGCATTTACGCTGTGTGTGCGGGGACTGACTTGGAACTAACTTGAGTTAGTGTTAATGCACTTTAACACCTGTTTTAACACTTGCTTTAACTAACAGTGTTAATGCGGTTTAACACCTGCATGTAGAGACACCTGCCTAAACCCGCTTAATGCGCATTAAGCTAATGCACATTAAATTGAGGCATGCTTAAATGCACATGTAGACGTGCCCAATAAGGAGGCAAGTAGTTTAGTATTTCTTTCAGGAAAAAGCAGAAAAAAGAAATAATTGAGCTGATAAAGTGACTTTATCTACCATGCAGAGTCTACTGCTTTGAAGTCATGCAGGCTGATTCTCACTGCTAGAGAAGCACATCCATGGGGAACAGGACATTTCTACCCTTTAATTCATTTTCACAGTGATTGCTCCCTTGGGGAGGGAAAATCTGAAGACAGGGAATTTGAGGAGCCTATTACTTTGTGTTTTCAAAAAGCCGATGGAGAATGTTCAGTATTTTGGGCTTGCTTTGGAGAAGAGTACCATTCTAACTGCCCATGGTAAGAGCTGATGTGGGCATCCATGGTAAGGTACCCAAGGTAAACTGAAGTTTGGGGTGAAGGAACAGAGCAAAGAACCCCAGCTCCTGCAAAAATATATCCTCCAGAAAACAACATGGAAAACCATGTGGGAAAGGGGTTTCTTTTTTAAAGCCATCCTGAAACAAAATTTGTATTTAGTTCTAATGAACTTCTAAAACCTACTGAAAGATCATCATTTTCCATTATGTTACTTAGTGCGGGGATTTTTTTAATAAAAAGGCACTTAGAGATGCTGATGGTATAAAGTGTTTCCGTGGTAATTCACAGCCTTACTCAGCTGTGGGAGATAAATGAAGGTATCAAGCACAAACAGTATGCTAAGTTCTCTATAGAAGATGTGGAATATGGTCTGTCCCACAGCACCGTCATCTAACTAACTACTGGTCATCTGTCTTGAATGGAAAAATCAACACCCTCGAGTAGTAGCTATACTTGGAAACTGGACCCTGGACTACATTCCCGGTGATAAGTGATAGGAGCTGAATCATATTAAGTAAGAAAAACTCTGCTTCTCTCCTGACACAAGGGATAAACAGAGCTCAGGACTGGTGCTCGTATTTATAGTTAGATGTGTGTGGTAATAACTAACCACGACGCCCACTGATCTCAACAGGAGGGTCAAGTCAGCCCATAGCACGATATCATGGCAATTTCTAAGTCAGCTGGAGAACATTATCCACTGACCTTTTGGTTCTTTTGCAGACTTTTCCCATGAAGAAGAGGGCTGAGGATTCACCACACCACTAAAATTGCATGCGAGGAAAGCCCAGGCAGACTGGTGACTATTTTTAGAATCAGAAAATGAAGGTGGAAGGGACCTTAGGAGGTCACATCTAGTCCAACCCCCTGCTCCAAGCAGGACCAGCCCCAACTAGATCATCCCATTTTGTCAGAAATGAGATCACCTAATGGAGTATTTCCCCAACAAGCATCAGCAGCTCAGAATGGTCTATTTTCCCTGCTGTCAATTATCCAGTGGGCAACTGGTCTCTGGTACACTATGAGGCCTACGTGGGGATACAAGAGACTGTGCATTTGATCCACCTGCTCTGACAAGGACTCAATTCTGCTGATAACATTCATAGAAATGCTGCATTATTTTAAAAAAATGAGAAATTAAATGAATCCGGATCTTCCTTTTGGTAGGACTCATGGCCAGGGGTTTTCAGGTTACCTGGGAAATCTCTCCCCTGCACACATGCTCCATTTTTTACATCTGAAAAAGTGCTGAGGTACCTCAAGTAATTGGGCTTTCCCATTTATCTGCAACATCTACAGTACTTCTGAGATCTGACTGCAGCCTTCCTGGACTTCCAGGGTCCACAAACAAGACTACAGAAGGTCAAACACGTCACTCCGCATGGACATGCCAAGGAAAGAAAAAAACCATATGGAGCTTTCTCCTGTTGTACAAGGGTCAAGGGACGGGGGATTAAAAAGGCAGAGGAATCTCTAAACTCAGAGAATATTACAGATAATGGTATTTTCCATCTTTCTAGGCAACTGAACCGCACTTGACACTAATGTATCCTACTGCCTTACAAACATGCATAAAGCCCCAGAGGTAACCCATGCATTGGCCTTCAGTTGCTTCCACTGCCTCCATTTCCAAGGCAAAGGTTGGTGGTTCCAAGCAGGCAACAGCAAAGATCTGACATCTGGTCACAAAAATGTGAGGTCCACACCCACAGGTCACACTGACAGATGACTTCTACAGCTGTGGGGTAGCCTCCAAAAGGACCCTATCCAGTTCCTCCAGCCTCATCTTTGCTTGAAGAGTACAACCAGCAAGAAACGATTTGATTAGCAAGAAAAGAAGGTGACGTCCAAGACAGCCCAGCTGGAGCACATTGAAAGCTCTGAAAAATCAACCCAGGATGATAATCTTACTATACAGTACGCCTGTCTACACATGCATTTATGCTGGTGTAAATTCACTAAGCGGAATAGGTAAGCAGGAATAGGCCAGTGTGTACAGGTGCAGGTGTTAATGTGAATTAACGCTGTGTGTGGTCTGATTTGGGACTAGAGTTAGTCCCAAGTTAGTCCATGCACACAGTGTTACTACACAGTAAAGCATCTACACGTGCATTACTGCGCAGTAACTAACCAGGAGTAAATTTGACATCTGTATGATTCAGGTATCAAATTTACGCTCAAGCTGGCGCAAGTCACCATATTTACTGTGTAGTACAGGCATGCACGTGTAGAGACGTGCCCGTACTGTGCAGTAAATGTGCATGTGTAGACACGCCCAGTGGGTAGCTACTGAGACAACCGGGATGCTCAGTCTAAGCTGTTTTTGGCAAGTAACTGTACTTGCTAGAGTTCCTTTCATGTCCCTGGTTCCATCCATGCTTTCTGTTCAGGGATCGGAGCAATTACTGCTTTTTTTTCAGTATTTTATCTGATTGTATGCTTTATCATGTGAGCTGTCCTGTGTCTTTTTTGGGGAGGCAGACAGATATATAAAGAAAGAAGCACATTGTCAAGCCCAGTACCCTTCTATAACCAAGCCTGAAAGCCAAGCCTGGTGCACTAAAGACCTGGTCCATGTCTGATAGGTTGTGGTGCAGGATCCCAGCCCTTGCGCAACAGAAGGGAGCATTTGCCATGGTTGTTGCCCTTTGAGCACTCAGCATCCATGAGCTGAAGATGTACCAAGCCATGTCTGCTGTAGTCTGGCAGCTGGAGTAATGCTTTCTCTCAGCCTGTACAACGCCCCTAAGTGCAATGAGATTGCCAGAGGTTACAGCTAGAGAAAAACTCAGTTCCATAGAAATTAGTCACGGTGCTTTGTGGGGGATGCCCACAGCAACAGGGTTGTGACCTCGAATGCTAGTCAAAGGGAAAAGCCCAGAGTCATTTGGGAGCTTGCAAAGAAGACTCCTGTATTATCTCTTGCTACTTCTTCCCTGATTATCACCAGCAGGGCTCAACAGCCACAAGGCGCATCTACACGGAACGCTTACTACTCATTAGCTTAATACCACTGCGCAGTAGCAAAAACCATGCTAATAGACTATTGTGCATTGTTATTAGGCTAATGCACAGTAAGCATCACTAAATGACCCTGCACTGGCGCTACTGCACAGTAACTCTAGGTACTGTGCCTTTAGTAACTACTTTATTAAGCAAGTACTAAACTAAATACACAGTATCTAAGGGGTACAGTCTGTAGCCTTATTGGTCTACAAGCAAAAGGAATCAGAACTCATGGCAGAGGTGATATCTTTTATTAGACCAACTAGACATTTGCAAAAATAATTATTTATTTGCAAGCTTTCAGGCATGTTCACGTTTCCTCAGGCATAGGAGAATGCAAAGATTGTAAAATATCTCCTAGGTGGAAATGAAAATTTATATTTCACGGGATAGCTGAAGGTATTGTGAAATCTCCTGGTTGGAATTAGGTTTTTGGTGGTAGCCGTGTTGGTCTACGGTCATAGGCAGGCTAGGTTCTTTGGGTAGATGTGAGATCTTGTATTAGACCAACTGAATAGTTGTTGTAATAAAACTGAATCATGTCTACCCAGAGAACCTTTCCTGGTTGGAATAGTTCATTTTGTGCAAATTAGGCTCAGATAAAAGTTCAAACAGTCTATTTACCTCGATGTTGTCTGGTGTCAAGTAGGATGTTGAAGTATGTTTCCTTCTGGTTATGATATCTGGTTCTGATTCCAGTATCTAAGGTGCATTAATGAATGTGTAGAGGCACCCACAGGCCTATATTAAGATCCTAGACAGTACTCTCCACATCTGCCCTCTTCCCCAGACAACGTATATCACACATCCTCATTACAATCTGTTTGGAGGCCTTGGCCCCTGAGCCCATGCATAAAACCCATCCACCCTCAACGATGCAGCGCAAAGATGTAAGAGCAGCTCTCTTAAGGAGGACAGTAAAAGACACTGAGCATGAATTAAATGCTTTTAGGATGGGCTTGGTTGCTAGTTATAAAGAAATAATTCTTCTGTTAATCCATCGGTCGGGCATAGCACGGTGCAAGTTGCTCCACGGCCTCCAAACTCCAGCTCACAGCCAGCCCAGTACATATGTTACGTGGCCATGTTGGCATTCAATCCTCCCTTCTTGTGCCCAGACTGACAGCAGAAGCGCCAACAGTGATGGCAATGCTCGTCACGCGGGACAGCTCGGAAGCAGACTGAGATTGCCTCAGTCCATTCACATAGGCCATAAAACAGCTCTTGAACAGAAATGACCTCAGACATTAGCTGGATTGGACTCAAACCCTTCAGGGTTAAAAGGTGCAATACCTCATTGCTAATCTGCTTACTTGCCCATTCCCCTAACATCTTCACCAAAACCCATATGTTTTTGCCCAGAGTGTTAGTTTCCATCACCTCAAGAGGTAACAAGTTCCAGTGCTGGGGTCCAGCATCACATTTTCACACTCTGGTTACAGACACCTCATTAGTTTCCTCACAACTAGCTCAGAGTACAAGGGGTTTGTTCTTCGAGCCGCCAGAGCTGGTCAACGCAACTGACTGATTGCATACAGGCTCCAAATTGTCTCATAAATAAAAAAAGAGAAGAAGAAATTAAGCAGATGGCTCCAAAGCAATATTCATCCTGGAAAACGCATGGGAACCTCGGTTCCAAAAGCAATACCGGGGACAGCTCCCAGTGCCAAGCTGGTGAGAATTGCTCCCAAACCCTTCATCTCCCTCCACCATTGAAGTTTCTTCTGCTTTTAGGAAGTGCCATCTCCAAGTGTAGTGAGACTGCTGGT